GCCTTGGTGATTTATTTAAATCAGTGGTTCTACACCCGGAGTGATTTTAAACTCAGAAGACACTTGGTAACGTCTGGAGACATTTTTACTTGTCATGAGTGGGTATGCTATTGGTGTCTAATATGTAGAGGCCAAGGATGCTGCTAAATATTTTCAAGGCACAGGTCAGGCTGTGCCCTAGCCATGGCCACCAAAAAGTTATCCAGCTCTAAATGCCAGTATCATGGATGAGAAATCCTAACTCAAATCAGTTAGGATTCCACTCTTCCCCTGCCCATTATGATACTTGACACTTACTAACTAGCATATATTTTGAACTAAGAACACTAAAAAGATATTCAAATTATTATTATTTTTGTAAAAGGGCTAATTTAAAAATTAAAAATGGGCCGGGCGCGGTGGCTCAAGCCTGTAATCCCAGCACTTTGGGAGGCCGAGACGGGCGGATCACGAGGTCGGGAGATCGAGACCATCCTGGTTAACATGGTGAAACCCCGTCTCTACTAAAAAATACAAAAAACTAGCCGGGCGAGGTGGCGGGCGCCTGTAGTCCCAGCTACTCGGGAGGCTGAGGCAGGAGAATGGCGTGAACCCGGGAGGCGGAGCTTGCAGTGAGCTGAGATCCGGCCACTGCACTCCAGCCTGGGTGACAGAGCGAGACTCCGTCTCAAAAAAAAAAAAAAAAAAAAAAAAAAAATTAAAAATGAACTAAAGGCTGTCTTGCAAGAAGAAAGAATACTATACTTTAAAGGAATAAAAATCCTGGAATCCTTGAGCTGGAAAGGAGTGATAAACACTTAGCTTCGTTAGCCCAATGTTCACTTAAAATATAAGTCAATTTTCTAAACAGATTCTGAATTGAAGTGACAAAATGGTAGCCAAAAGGCTGAATGAAACCTAGAAGCAATGATCTAGCCAGGATTTAACAGGGAGTTCTGGAAAACGATATATCTATGGGGCCTTGATAAGCTCTCCACAGATCCTGGGACCACATATCCTAGGACAACAGAGCCCATATACGTGTATACAATAGGAGATGGGAGAGGATTCAGCAGAAACTAAAATCTATGGCATATCTGAAAATGACCTTAACCTTAAATGCACTCCTTAGACTATATACAGATCCATTACCAGAGTGTAAAAATCTTACTAGTTCAAGGTATATAAGCAAAATTTATGACCAACTGTTGACTGAACATTAAGCTATGCAGAAACACAAGAAAGGCTTAAAAATAAAATGAGGAAAAAAACACTGAGAAAAGACAACAGTGACCATACATTGCTGAGGAGACAAATTTCACAGACTTAGTCCAGTCAAGTTACTAAACAGACAGACAAAATAATAACAACCACTATAAGAGGCAGAAATCAGAGTCAAGAGTTACTAGAGTATATCACCGAAAACATCTTGTATTCAAAAAAAATGTATAAAACACTCAAAGAAACAAGGTCAATCTAAGCATACTCAGGAAAAAAGGTAGTCAGTTGAAGCCATCTCTAAATGGTCCCAAATGTTAGGCATATCAGGCAGTGATTTTTAATGCAACCATTATATACAGGAAATACACTAGAAAAAATTGAATTAATGATAAAGATAATGATAATGACTCAACAAATAGAAAAATCTCAATAAACAGAAAGAACAGTTAAAAAATAAGCATTGAGAATTCTGGAGTTGAAAAGCACAGTAACTGAAAAACTAACAAGAGGGGCTCAACAGGAGATTTAATATGACCAAAAAATAAATCTGTGAATCTGAAGATCAATAGAAATTTTCCAATCTGAAGATCAGAGAAAAAAGCAATTGGAGAAAAATGAACACCACTTCAGAGACATTTTGCACAACATAGGGTGTACAAATATACAAGTAATGAGAGTCCTAGAAGGAGAAGGGAGAGAAAAAGGGAGTGAAAAAGTATTTGAAGAAATAATGGCTAACAAATTCCAAAGTTTGATAAAAAACATTAATCTGCCAAGTCCAAAAAGCTCAATGAAGCCAAAGTATGAGAAACAGAAAGAGATCCACATCCCAATACATCATAATCAAACTGCTGAAAGTCAAACAAACAGAATATCTTGAAAGCAGCAAGGGCAAAACGGCTCATCATGCACATGGAAACAATATAATTAAAGGTTGATTTTTTTTTTTCTCAGAAATAATAGAGGCCAGAAGGCAGTGGAATGACACATTCAAAGTGCTGGAAGAAAAAAATCTGTCAGTAAAACTATCTTTCAAAAATGATCATTTCCAGATAAACAAAGACTGGGAATTTGTTGATAGCAGACCTGTCTTACAAGAAAAACTAAAGGAAGATTATGAGACTGAAAGAAAGTGATACCAGATGATCACATCAACCTACAGGAACAAATGAAGAGGGCCAGAAATAGTAAACATGTGAATTAAATAATAATCTATGAAATATATTTTCCCATTTCTTAAGTTCTTTAAAGCACAAAAGATTGTATAAAGAAATAATTATTGCACTGTATTGTTAGGTTTATAAGATATGCGTAAACTAGATAACAATAGCAACACAAAGAAAGAGGGAGGAAATGGAGATATATTGGAGCCAAGTTTATATTTCACTGAAATATAATACCTTGAGCAGTCACTGAAAAATAAGAAAAAGTAAAAAATTCTATAGAAGAATCAAAATGGCATACTAAAAATTATTTTACACAAGAAAAAAAGAGGAACAGGATGGAGACAGAGAAACAGAAAACAAATTGCAAAATGGCAGATGTAAAAGACAGATGTCAGAAAGAATAAAAGATCAAGACCCAATTACATGCTATGTAGAAGGGATGGATCTCGAGTTGAAAGATACAAACAGACTGAAAGTAAAAGAATGGGAAAAGATATGCTATGCAAACAGTAACGATAATACAGTTGCAGTAAACAAGACAGTATCATACTGGCACAGGGATAGGAAAAAAGATCAATAGATAGAACTAAGAGTCTAGAAACAAACCCTTCTTTTCATGGTCATTTGATTTCTGACAGAAGTGTCAACATAATTAAACAAAAGGAACTAAAAAAAAATTAAGATACATATAGGAACTTAAGTCCCTTACTTAACACCTTATAAAAAAATTAACCCAAAACAGACCATAAACCTAACTGTAAGAGCTAAAATATAAAATTAAAAAAATATGAGAAAATATTTGTAATGTTGGGTTAGGCAAAGAGTTTTTATAATACAATAGTAAAAGCATAAGCCATTTTAAAAAGTGATAAAATAAACTTCATTAAAATTAAAAACTTTTGCACTTCAAAGAATGCCATTAAGAGGATGAAAAGACACCTACAGACTGGAAGAAAATATCTACAAATTGTATCTCTGATAAAGGATTAATATCTAAAGTAAAGATTTTATAACTGAATAAGATAAACAGTTCAAGTTTTAAAAAAATGGGCAAGACGTGAACAGACATTTCATTGAAGAAAACATGAATGGCTAAAAAGCATGTGACATGATGATGAATATCAAAAAATCATTAGAAACATGAAAATTAAAGCTATAATGAAATATCAATACCTATCCAAGAGAATGGCTATAATCCAAAAGACAGATAATATCAAATGTTTGTGAGGACATAGAAAAACTGGAACTCTCGTACAGTACAAGTGAGAATGTAATACAGGAACTTTCAAAAACTTTATTGGTTTCTTTAAAAAGTTAAACTTGTTACATGATCAAACACTCTACTCTCAGGGAAGCAGAATTTCTCAGTCCATGAGAAATAAAAACATATGTTCATACAGAACATTATATGAAATTGTTCATAGCATTACTCATATCACAAAACTGGAAACAATCTAAGTATCCCTCAACGGGTGACTGGATAAACAAAATCTGGTATATGCAAACAATGAAAAATCATTTAGTAATGAAGTAATTATAGAGGATAACATGGAATACCCTAAAAAGCATGCTAAGCGAAATAAATCAGGTGTAAAACATTATAATACTATATATTAGGCAGACTGTATATCTAAAAGTTATGTATATGGTAAACTAATACACATATACAAACACACATTGTATGATTTTATTTATATGAAATATCCAGAAAGGGCAAATGTAGAGAATGAAAGCAGATCAGTGGTTGCTTTGGGCTGGAACTGCAGACTGATTATAAAATGGCTTATAGGAATTCTTTTTGAGGTGATGAAAATATTCTAAAATTGGGTTACAGTGATGATGGTGTTAACTGTTCTATAAATTTACTAAAAAGTATTAAATTGTACCTTTTCAGTAGAATAGCAAACAACAAATTAGTGAATACTATAGATGAAAATCTTACTCCAATAAAGCTGTTTTAAAAAAGGCCATAGCATTCAATCTAACACAAAGAACTGACTCAGCTTGAGTGAAAAACATCACAAACCTACCAATTAAATCTGTTCCATTTAAATACCATTAAACATTTGGGGAAAAAACTTGCACAAAATCCTAGGTAATCTACTATTACCAAATCTGTTTTGTGAATCTAGGCTACTGCTTCAAGAAATAGGACACTTTAACATGTCAATTAATGTAATTTGAGAAGCATCAGGCATGAGCTAAACCGATAACAAGACAATCACTCCTACCCCTGAAGTTTTAAATTTGATTTTAGCTGTAGGTTCCTTATTTTGACACTCAAATGGAAGAAAACTCAGTTTGCACATAGTATTATTAAATATAAAAAGGTTCCCCAAATCATTTTATTTTGAAACGGTAAAAATAAATGAAAGGGGATTTAATTTTAGAGCTTTATTGACTATATGACATGTATGAATTTTTACTTTTTCCTTGAACTAAGTCTATGTATTTCAATGAAAGAAACCTTTGACTCAAACATTGAAAGCTTTCTGTGCAAAACTACCATAGCTTGAAATTATAACATTTTGCTGTTTGCTATTCCATTCAAGAAACAATGTAGTTATTGTACTGTATTATTTGTTCCTCTTTTCATGGGCTATATAATACAGCACTTACCCTGCTTTCTTCTAGGCTATCAAATGGACCCGGTGGATCATCCAAACAAAGAAATTCTCTCACTGCAAGGCTTTTCAAAGGAAAAAAAAATTATCTGAAGTACAAGTAAGTTTGCAGAAGACAGCAAAAAGCAAAAGTTACTTTGAAGCAATACAGTGTTTTAAACAAGTTGGTTATGTGCTTTCATACAAGTAACTAAATATAAATATAAAACTATAGAAGATGCAAAGATCTTAAGGTGTTTTCTAAGATCTTAGAACATAAATATCACAAATTTATTGTTACATACAAACTATTGGACATAAAACATACTTCACAATAATGGTTCAAGAGACCAACATAGTGAATAGCCTCTTTATGATTTTTCAAAGAAATACCAGTCTGAAGTAGTCTAACAGTCATTATCCTTTTATGAATAAATGCAATTTCTAATTTATACCTCACTTGTTTTTGTTTGAGTAGATGCTTCTAAAGTGACTGAAAAGCATTTATTCTTAAACAAGTTAAAGACTGACCTTGCTATCATGTTTATTATATTAATTTCCTTATTTTCCCCAGATAGTTCGAGAGAAAAAATTCTAACCATCCTATCTCTAAATGACCACAAATTTTAAAATTATTATTAAAAAATGATATTGTTATGCTTATACTTTGCTATTATCAGAGAAACAGGTTAAGGAGGTAGATAACCAAACTTCCTTATAATAAAAATGCCTCCCTGCCTTTCTAAAAAGCAATTCTGGACTGAGAGACAATTCTATGTACACATCAAAATATAAATGTGGATCCTTATTTTAGATTTGCAAAATAAAATCTTTACAAATTTCCTTTCACAAAGGTTTTTTTTTTTTTTTTTTTTTTTTTTTTAAGACCAAGTCTCGCACTGTTGCCCAGGCTGAAGTCTGGAGTGTGGTGATGGGATCTCGGCTCACTGCAACCTCTGCCTCCTGGGTTCAAATGACTCTCCTGTGTCAACCAGCCTTCCAAGTAGCTGGGATTACAGGCTCCCATCACCACGCCCAGCTAATTTTTGTATTTTTAGTAGAGACAGGGTTTCTCCATATTGGCCAGGCTGGTCTCCAACTCCTGACCTTGGGCGATCCGCCCGCCTCCACTTCCCAAAGGGCTGGGGTTACAGACGCAAGCCACTGTGTCCAGCCAGGATTTCTTGATATACTACACAGGGGATGTCAACTTATCCTGAAAAGGGAATGGGGCTTTTGGGATCAGATTAGGCCAGACAGTTTGATGATGTCAGGAGGTGTCCATGAAGAGATAAATGGAATTTTACATATCCTATTGTATTTAATATGCTCACGTATTCAACTGCATTTAATTTTCACAACAATCATGTAAGATTCGATAAGTATTGGATCTCCATTTCACAAATGATACCAAATTTCAGAGAGGTGAAATTACTTGCCTATTGTCAAAAAGTGCAGGTGGTAGAGCTGTACCTTCAATCTGTTCCCTGAGTGTGAATATGTGTCCTTTTCTACCTTTAAATTCTTTTGTCTTATGCTTTGGTTCATTTGGATTCTCCTTGCTGGACACTTCTCTCTGAAAATATTCTATTTATCTGCATCCCTCTCTAGTTGTGGCCTCTAGTAGAACACTGCAGTTGGTCTGATAGCACAGAGTAGAACAAGGTCTTCTGATGTAGATATTATACTTCTATCCACCCATTATTTATACTGGGACACCTGCTATTACATACAAATGACTCCTAGGAAATCAATTGATCTGGGATTGAGAGGTCAAATTTGTATGAAACCCTGAGGAAATAGCACTTAAGACTGAAAGCAAACTGCTAAGAAATATATGGAAGGGTCCTGTTTAATACTTTCAGTATATGACAAATGTGAGACATTATTTTCTTACAGTTTTATATCCAAATTCCCTCATGCTTTAATGTTGTTTTTATGTTTACAAATTACTCTATTGGACTGCTGCTGCTAGGAAAGAAAAAGTGGGTAAAGGAGTACACATATATCCCTTTTTATATCTTTGGTTTACAGTAGAAATTTAGCCAAGATCGACAGTGAATGTTGACCATGTATCCAGCTGGAGAAATCTGTTTTTGGAGTGGTTATTCTGTTTCATTCACCTTCCCTAAAAATCTTTACAATGTATGGCTCACTAGAGTTCTACTTAAACGAAATCCAATGGATTCTCTAAGTTTTTATCCATATAGTTCCAAGGTTATAGTCTATGCTTTACTTTCTTTAATCAGTAGCAGAATACAATTTGAAACTGGCTTTACAACTTTAATTTACATAAAACCTTTTCAGTGGTTCATTACATTTCCTCTGCTTCAGCAAGACTCAGTCAGAAAAGGAAGTAGTCAATACCCTCAAACTCTATTTTCTATCTAAGGAGAGGCCACACAAGAATCTCTGGAAGATGGTAGTATTTGAGAAAACAATTCCTTTCTTCTTAGAAATTCTGATACATTTTTTCCCCTAGGAAAGGAAACCCTCATCCTTGCTTGAGAATCACTGACTACATAACTTTACTTAGATCCAGTGAATATTTATTGACTGTCTATGTGTGCCATTATTCCTTTTATTACCTGGAATACATTTTTACTGTGTTTGGGAAAACTATTTTAAAATTGGGATCAGGTGTTGACTTAAATTTACTAAAGGTAGATAAGGAAACCACCTATGGTATCCCTCAGCATTTTTTTAATTATCAGAGCAAATCTGTATTGTAAGTTCACCTCTTTCTTTGAGTCTCTTGAAGTTTTTTTTTTTTTTAAAGAGTTTTACTGTATTTTCAAATTATGCTCTTAAGAACAACATATTTGACTTTATTGCAAATTTTATAACTATCTGTAATTTAATTTCTATCAAACTAACATTTTGTAACAAAAACCATCCAACCAACCTTGGTAATGTGTGGATTCTCATGAGATAGCATTATATGAACTACTGTATAGATAACTGAATTCTTCTTTCATTTTATATAAATACTAAGATTAACTTCCCTGAATATCTTAAATTTTCTTTTTTTAAATTAAAAAAATATAAAAACAACTTAGAGACATTAATGATTACATTTCCTGTGAAAAGATAGTTCAGGTTGCAAATGTACAAAAGTTATCTTTAAGTATTCTTGTTCAAGTAGAGAATTATTGAATTTTAAGTAGAAGAGACCTAACTTGTCATCTAATCAAACATATTCCATTTAATAATTCCCTCTTTGATACCACTGATGGTTATTTACTCTCTTCAAATAGTTAAGATAAAGAGAAATCTACTTTTTCAAAAGGCAGAACATTTTTATATTGGACAGCTTGAAATGACGGTAACTTTTTAAAATCTGAGCTGATAGTGCCTTCCTCTAATTTCTTGCCATTATTCTTATTTTATATGTTGGCCTTGCTATTCAAAATGAGGTTATTAGACCAGTCAGTCTCATCATCAGCTAGAAACCTGTTAGAAACGTAAAATCTTCAGTTCAAGCTTGCTGAATCAGGGTCAGCATTAACAAATCCCAGGTGATTCACAGTCACACTACAGTTGGAGAAGCACTACTCTTAAATATACATGATAAATCCTTCCTTCCAGAAACAATCTTTCAAATCTTTCAAACACGTAAAGATGGCTATCATATCTCCCAAGCAGTTTTTTAAAAGGATATTCTCATTTCTTTCAATTGTTCTGTCATATTAATGTTTGGATACTATTTTCTTTTCTTTAAAGTCATGAACCGCTATTAATCCAGATCGATCCTGAACTTTTTTTTTTTTTAAATGTAGAAATAAAAATACTGAATTTTGGTACTGAACCCCTTACAGATAAATGAGAATGTGAAGACAAATACATAAGTTTAACTTTTGAATTTTGAAAAATCAAAAAGAAAAAAATGGCAAATAAGATATATGTGAAGTACTTCTAAAAATGGAGAATTGGAAAATATTTGCTGTGCTGATTGATGTAATAATTTAAAAGTAGTTCAAGACGGTGTAAAACAAATAGCTATACTTTAACTAAGACTGTGCAATGTAAGGCTATATTCAGCTTGATAAACTGACTTGTGTGTTGTTACTGGTACAAGACCTGTACCTTCTTGCTTCTGAGTTTTGATTATGATATTTCCTATCATTTGCAAAGTCCTTCTTCATCTTTCCTTGCTCGTCCAATTATCACTAATTCTTTAAAGTGCAGTTCAACTATCACCCTCTGCGAAGCCTTTTCTACTTTTCCTAGTCAAAAGTTCTCTTTTCCACCTTTAAGAGGTCTAATTCTCTATCCATTATGATTTCTGGGGGTGTGTCTTCTTTCTATTCAGTTTCTTTTAATAGGATGAGTATCTAACTCATTTTTATATAGTCAAAACATCTTTTAAATAGTAAGTCCTAAATAAATATTTATTGAACAGATAAAATCTCTAAATCTGTTTATTATGTAAATGTTAATATTTTTATCTGCATCCTTACTTTGAACTTTCTAAATAAATCTGGAAACAACATTCTTTTAAAATATTCAAATCAATAGTCCTTAATATTCATTCAGTTCGTATTTTCTTCCATTTCTGCTTTGTTAAGAGTTGGAGAATATGTAACATTAAGAGTTGCCCATTGTGTAACGGTAAGTGCTTAGCCAAGAGGAAGGTTAAAAATTAACCTTGTTGTAAGGTGATAAGGATATAAAAAGTGAAAGAACAATTAATAAACAATTAATATTAATGTATAAACAATATCAAATAATTATTTGGCCAGCTAAAGATACTGAGTTTTTTCTATGTTGCCATTCCAACTGTACCAAAATGCTAACAGGCATCCCAGCAGGTAAGTGCAACTAACTGATGTTTTTATGTAGTGATTCTTACATGCAGTTTTATGTTTTCATAAAGAAATGTTGAGATTTTGTCTTTTTTCCTTTTCTCCCTTAGGAGGGATTTCCCCCCTTCCTTTTCAATTGTAAAAAATGAGAGAATCTTCTTTCACTCTTCTCCTACATTGTTGGATACAAATAGTAGTTGGAGCTTTTGTCTGATGAACTACCTTATGCTCCAACTACTATTTGAATTTAGATTGCAGAGATAGTTAAAATCTTGGCTATGCAGTACAACAGTAATACTAATGACAGAATCACTGCAATAATTTAGTCTGTGATACATTTAGAATTAGGTGTGTATTTTATAGAAGCAACAGTACTAAGGGATGAAAAGATAAAATCTCAAAAAATGTAGGCAAGTACTGTGCTAGTTTTTTAATGGATCAACCATCAATTCATAAATATTTGGCAACCTCAGACTTTCTATACACTTTCTAATTATTTGTTTCTGACTCATATCCATCTTCCTACCCATAATCTTAAGCATTCCAGGCTCTCAAAATCCCACTCCCAGTATTGCTTGATCATTGCAAACAGCACTGATCTCCCCGCTTCTTTGAGTTCTTGTTACTTTTATAAACTGTATCATACCAGTAGCAATTCCCAAATGTCATTATTTTGTTCAAACAGGAGTCTATTTTTCTAAGTGATTTTTAAAACCACTGAGTATATCCCCTCTTTTATACCCTATGATACAGGGCAAATGCATAAGATTTGCTCTGTATCAGTAACCCTTCCTCCTCTTCCCCAACTCACATTTTAAGCAATATGTTATTAAGAAGTTTCTAACATTGTGAAATAAAAAATGCTACCTATCACCTATAAAAAAGATAGTGGGTACCAAGGCACAAGTACCCTGTTTTTAATTGAATTGAAGTTATCTTCCTGCATTCCCTAAATATCTGATGATATATGACAAAGGCAGGTAGGCAAACAAATGCAAGGCATATTAGATTCTTTCATGCAAGATTTTTTAGAACCTTTAATCCTCTAGGAATATCAAATGA